ATTCCCATTCCCATTCCCAGCCCTTCGTGGCCCCCTCGCTGCCCTTCGTGGCCCCGTTACAGCCCTTCGTGGCCCCCTCGCTGCTTTTCGTGGTCCCGTTGCAGCCCTTCGTGGCCCCCTCGCTGCCCTTCGTGGACCCGTTGCAGCCCTTCGTGGCCCCCTCGCTGCCCTCGTGGCCCCGTTGCAGCCCTTCGTGGCCCCCTCGCTGCCCTTCGTGGCCCCGTTGCAGCCCTTCGCGGCCCCCTCGCTGCCCTTCGTGGTCCCGTTGCAGCCTTTCGTGGCCCCCTCGCTGTCCTCCGTGGCCCCATATATGTATGCCCTTCGTTGCCCCCGCTCGTTCGCGCCCGTCGTGGCTCCATATGCATGCGTTTCGTGGCCCCGCTGTCGCCCTTCGTGGCCCCCTCGCTGCCCTTCGTGGCCCGGTTGCTGCCCTCAGTGGCCCGGTTGCTGCTTTTCTGCGGCCCAATATATGTATGCCTTTCGTGGCCCCCGCTCGTTCGCGCCCGTCGTGGCCCCCCATATGAATGCTTTCGTGGCCCCCCCGTTGTCCTACGTGGCCCCGTTGCTACCCTCAGTGGCCCCGTCGTTGCTCTGTGGCCCGCATGATCTGCTCTTCGTGGTGCCCTTCGTGTCCCCGCTGTCGCCCTTCGTGGCCCCCTTCCTGCCCTTCGTGGCGCCGCTGTCGCTCTCGCTCTCGCTTTCGCTCGTCCTCGTCGTTGCCGTCGCCGTCGTCGTCGTCGTCGTCGTGGTCGGTCTTCTGTCCGTCCCTCTTAGGGTCGGGCTGCCGTCGATCAGCGCTGCCGCTGGCCAGGCCGACAAGGAAGACATACCCCCCAAACAGGGTACGGTCGAAGACGGATAGGGCGGGTATCGACGGTTTGGGAAATACACGTTGAATGACACTCGAGCCTCGAGCCGATAAAAGCGAATGTAGTCTTAAACTGATTATTGTTGTTATTGTTGTTGATCTCTCATTTTTGAAGAATAATTATTGTTGATCCCCCCTCCAGTGCAAATGTTTTTTCAATTGAAATACCCCTCGCGGCGCTCGCACCCTGTTTTTGAACAGGGAAAGTCTTCCTCCTCAAACTGTGTTGTTGGCCCCCGAGTTACAACAACAACGGCTCACGCTTGAGACTTCCGCACAATTTAGCCAGGACCCCCGCTCCCGCCTGAGACTTCCTCGCGTTTTATATTGGAATCGCGCTCTCGCTTGGGATTTCCTTACAACTTATTCAGGAATCGCTGTCTCGGCGCTCTGGAGTTGCGCTCTCGCTGGAGACTTGCTTGCAATTTACTCAAGAATAGCGCCCTTGCGTTGGAATCGCCCGCAATTTACTCAAGCGCCGCGCTCCCGACACTCAGGCACCCAGGAGTCGCGCTCACGCTTAGGATTACCTCACGGATTATTTAAGAATCGGGGTCTCGCTGTCTTTCGTGGCCCCGTTGCAGCCCTTCGTTGCCCCCTCGCAGCCCTTCGTGGACCCGTTGCAGCCCTTTCTGGCCCGCTGCCCTTCGTACACCCGTTGCAGCCCTTCGTGGCCCCCTCGGTGCCCTTCGTGGCCCCGTTGCAGCCCTTCGTGGCCCCCTCGCTGCCCTTCGTGGACCCGTTGCAGCCCTTCGTGGCCCCGCGCTGCTTTTCGTGGTCCCGTTGCAGCCCTTCGTGGCCCCCTCGCTGCCCTTCGTGGCACCGTTGCAGCCCTTCGTGCCCCCTCGCTGCCCTTCGTGGCCCCGTTGCAGCCCTTCATGGCCCCCTCGCTGCCCTTCGTGGTCCCGTTGCAGCCCTTCATGGCCCCCTCGCTGCCCGTCGTGGCCCCGTTGCAGCCCCTCGTGGTTCCCTCGCTGCCCTTCGTGGCCCCGTTACAGCCCTTCGTGGCCCCCTCGCTGCCCTTCGTGGCCACGTTGCAGCCCTTCGTGGCCCCCTCTCTGCTCTTCGTGGCCCCATATAATGTATGCCCTTCGTGGCCCCCGCTCGTTCGCGTCCGTCGTGTCCCCCCATATGCATGCGTTTCGTGGCCCCGCTGTCGCCCTTCGCGACCCCCTCGCTGCCCTTCGTGGCCCCGTTGCTGCCCTCAGTGGCCCCGTACTTGCCCTCCGCGGCCCAATATACGTATGTCCTTCGTGGCCCCCCCGCTGTCCTACGTGGGCCAGTTGCTACCCTCATTGGCTCCCTCGTTGCCTGTTGTGGCCCTGCAATATCTGCCTTTCGTGGCCCACGCTCGTTCGCGCTCTTCGTGTGTCCCCGCTGTCGCCCTGCGTGGCCTACTTCTTGACTTTCGCGGCCCTGCTGTCGTTCTCTCTCTTGCTCTCACTTTCGCTCGTCGTCGTCGTTGTCGCCGTCGTCGACGTCGTCGTCGTCGTGGTCGGTCCCCTGTCCGTCCCTCTTGGGGTCGGGTTGCCGCCGATCAGCGCTGCCGCTAGCCAGGCCGACGGTCCGCGGCCGCCCCGTCGCTTGCCAGGGCCCGGCCTGCATGGAAGAAAGGTATACCCCCCAAAAGGGGCACGATCGAAGACGAAGAGGGCGGGTATCGAGGGTCTGGGAAATACGCGTTAACGGACACTCCAGCAGATAAGAGCGAACAGTCGTAAAATGATTGCTGGTGTTGTTGTTGTAGATGAATTTTCGCTACCCTAGAATAACTAATGGTGATCCCCCCTCCGGTAGCATATGTGTTGTTTCAATCGAAGTGCCCTTCCGAGGGCCCGTACCTTGCTTTTAACCGGGAAAGTGTTCCTCCTCAAACTGTGCCCCTGGCCCCTGGCCCTTGGTTTACAACAACTGCGGTTCCTGCCGGATACTTCCTTGTGCATTGACGAATCGCGCTCTCGCTACGGACTTCCTTGCAGTGACAAGGAGGCGGGAGAAGGATGGAGCACGAGAGAGAGAGAGAGTAGCAGGAGGGGGGGCCAGGAACAGAAAATACGTTGCAGAACCAGACAGGCAGATCGGGTGGGTAGACCCCGACGGGCGGGTCGGGAAGGCGGGCCCAGGCGGCCAGGTCGAACATGCGGGTTGCTGAAGCGTGCGTCCTGCAGGAACCGCGAGGAATTCTCTATCGATGGCGCGATTCCCAAATATATCGTGAGGAAATCCACAGCGAGAGCCTGATTCCTGAGTGTCGAGGGCGCCGCGTCTGAGTAAACTGCTAGGAAGTAATACGCGAGAGCGCGAATTCTAGGTACATTGTGACGAGGTCCCGCGCGAGAGCGCGATTTGGGAATACACTGTAAGGAGGTATCAGGCGGGAGCCGTTGTTGTTGTAAGTCTGGGGCCAGCGACCCGGTTTGATGATTCTCCGTTTGTCAAAAACCAGCTAGTCTTTTGAACACATTGTGCCCCAGAGGGTGGGGGTCAATATTCTTCGTCTTAGGGAAAGAGAATTCAACAACAATACTTTTCATATTTGTCGCTCTAACATGCTCGCGGACCGTTCAACACGTATATCCAAAACCCTCGATGCCCGCCATGTTCGTCTTTGATATTTTCCCCATGGGGGCATATATCTTTCTTTCTTGCAACGTGTATTTCGTGCAGCCCCTAAGGCACGGGAAGAGAGGACAGATGGAAGGAAGGGACAAGGGGGCGGGAGGAGGATGGAGCACGAGAGAGAGAGAGAGAGAAGCAGGATGGGGGCTAGGAGCAGAAAACACGTGGCAGAACCAGACTGGCAGATCGGAAGGGTAGACCTTAACAGGCAGTTCGGGAAGGCGGGCCCAGGTGGCCAGGCCGAGCAGGCGGGTTGCTGAAGCGTGCGTCCCGCAGGAACCGAGAGGAATTCTCTAGCGATGGCGCGATTCTCAACTATATCGTATCCACAGCGAGAGCGTGAGTCCTGAGTGTCGAAAGCGCGGCGTCTGAATTAATTGCGAGGAGCTCTCACGCGGAAACGCGGTTCCTGCACAACTTGTGAGGAGGTCCCGCGCGAGAGCGCGATTTGGGATTAAGCTGTGAGGACGTTCCAGGCGGAAACCGTTGTCAGTGTAAGTTGGGGCCCAGGGGCGCAGTTTGGTGACAATGGCTACTGGAGGGGGCATCAACAAGAGGTATTCTTTAGACTTGAGAATTCAACAGTCCGCACTGCGGAAGCCCACTGCGACCACGCTTCGGGGACAGCGAATGACCGTGCGGCCCCTTCGCTCCGAAGATCTTCGGAGACCCGGGTCGCCGGAAGGCGGCGGAAGCCATGGCGGGGGGAACGGGGGGGGGGGGGCAGCTCTGCCAGCGGAAGGCCTGAGCGGATGCCAGCAGAAGTGCACATTGTTCATGTCTAATATTTCGAAGGTTCTTTGATTTTTTTGGGGGCCAAGATCCTCTCATTTCTAGTTCTTCTATCCTGCGCCTATTCCTGGCCACCAGGGGGCCAGGAACAATTAGAAACGAGCACATTTAGAAGTGAGCACGATTAGAAATGAACGACGTGTAGATCGGCCACGCGCAGAGGGGGGCTGGGGGAGGGCGGGAGGCTTCTTAGAAGCACCCTTGCTTCTCAGAAGGCGCGGGGCCGATCTCCAGATGTGAGGCCGGCGCCTTCTAGGAAGTAGCCCCCTTCTCAGAGGCCTTCCCCCCTCACCCTACCTCCCTTCTGCGCGCCACCAAGTAAAAGCAGACCCCCCCCCCAAGAAAGATCAGCGACGGCGCACCCAGGGCAGGGTACGTGCAGTCGGCCATCTCATTCCCCCTCTTCTTTTCTCCGTCCTCTCCACATCGCCCTTCATGTTGTAGCGGCATTGTAGCGTTTTTCCTAGCACGCCACAAGGACATGAATGTAGGCTTTCGGAGCTCCGCGCTGACTTCCTGGATCTGCGCTGGTCCCCTCTGGCGCCGCTCCGCGCGCCGGGGATTGGGGTCAAGCGCCGATCCTCGGACTCCGCGCGGACTTCCGACGATTGACGTTTGCGCAGTTGTTACTTTTAGTTTTTCCCTGGGGGCAGGCATGGATCCACATGGGCTATTTGAAAATCGAGTAGCCGAGCTCATCTTGCCTTCCTTGGGAGAGGAGTCTGGATGATGCTGTCGTTCCATCTTGTCCTCACAGGGGGCTGCATCTTGGCCCGAGCTCTTGCTAGCATTAGACGGTGGTGGTGATAGTCGTCACACCGATTGCGTGATGTTTCACACATTCGCTTTCTTATTGTACAGATCTTCCAGACGCATTATCGTAATCAGCGCCTCGTCTCCTATTCACAGAAAAAAAAGGTATGTACACACCATGTTGCAGATCGGAAGGCGTGATTTGCAGTGTCGGTGTCTGTCTGTTCCCCAGACGCTGATCGACGCGCCGTTCCATCCCCCATGCGCCTCGCTGCGCAATGGTCGTCGTGCGTCGGACACGTCTCAGGAGCCCAGACTTTCAGCGTCGTGTGTTCACCAATCCGTGTTCGCCCGAGCTTTATCCTGGTGCTAATTTGCTTTTCCGCATCTCGGTCCAGGCTTAGGGGATAAGGGCAGCGGCAGGGAATGGGGGAGCTAGGGCGCGGGGGAATGATCGCGAGATTCGTTTTTCCAATCGTCATGTCTGGCACGTCCCTGCAGGAACCACTGCCTCGATCCGAAGCCGTGGCCATCATCATGAACGAAGGTGTCCAAGCGCCTCTGTCATCTCGCCGGGCACGCGGCGGTCAGAGTCCCGACTTCGGTCGACGCAAACGAAGCGAGGCCGAGGAGCTTGCCATCGGCACCTGCTGGCTTTAGTGCGGGAGCGTGGAGCCAGCCGCACGGCACGGCCCGTTCGTCCGGCCTGCTGCGGGAAGAGCAGCGATCCAGCGCCCGGACGAACAACCCAGAAGCCAGTAAGCGCGCCTGGCTTCTGAGTTCTGAGTGGGCGGACCCCCCTGCTGCCTGCGCTGCCCCTTGCCGCCCCTTCACCTCGGCGTCCAGCAGCACACGCCCCCCCCCCCCCGCTGCCTCCGCACTCGGCCTCGCCGCTGCCTCCTTCCTTCCTCCTGCCCGGCCTGCCGTTTTGGGGGGCTTTCCTCTGCGCGCTCGTCCCGCTCTCGTTGCCTCCTTGCTTCCTCCCTACCCGGCCTGCCGTTCGTAGGGCCTGCCTCCTACCCGCGAGGCCCCGCGCAGAATGGCCGGTCCGGCGGCTTCCAGTCCACCCCGCCGCCCTGCTGCATGCTCCCTGCGTCCGTCGGCCGCTCGCCGGAGGGGGGTTGGCTAGCGAGTCTGCAGGCGGGGCTGGAAGCATGTCTCGGAGCTCGACGCGGGGGTGGATGCATGTCTCGAGGCACGTCTCGAAGCATGGATGTCTAGATAGCCTCAAAGGAGGATTTTCGCAGACCGGCTTCGAGTAAACCAGTCCCGGAGCAAATCCCGCCACGGACAGGCCCGTGCCTTTTGAAGCAAAGCTGAGACTCTCCGAATTAGGTCTGAGACCCCCGAGGGTGCGTTTGGGACTCCCAGAAGTAGGTCCGGGACCCGCAGGCTTGGCTCGGGACACGCCAGCAGGCCCGACAGCCCTCCCGCGGTGTGGCCCGCAGCGCCCCTGGACTGCAGATTACCATCGAACCCTTCGGATCGAGCGCCCCAGCTCGACTGAGACACGAACGAACCGCGCCCGAGCAGCAACCCGTGTTGAACCACTCGGGGCGCACAGTTGGCTGCACGGAGACCCCAATGGAAATAGGGCAGGGCGGAGGGAGGGGGTTGGGGATATGTGTATATATATATATATATATATATATATATATACATAGAGAGAGAGAGAGAGAGAGAGAGAGAGAGAGAGAGAGAAAAGGATTGGGGAAGTTGGAGGAGAAGGGGGTAGGCTAATCGCGAGGAAGAGGAGGAGAATGAGGAGGAGGGGGAAGAGGGGGAGGAGGAGGAGGAGGAGGAAGAGGAGGAGGAGGAGGAGGCGGAGGAGGAGGAGAGGAGGAGGAGGAGGAGGAGGTGGAGGAGGAGGAGGAGGAGGAGAACGCCACATGCAGATGCATAAGGTCCGCGAACGTCATAAAAGGAGGAGGAGGAGGTGGAGGAGGAGGAGGAGGAGTGCGATTTTGGAATCAGGCCCTTGGCCTTGGAGCCGAAGCCACAGGCAGATGGCGAGCACTCGCGATGCAGATGCGGGGCTCCTTAGACCTCACCCTTTCGGGCTGGCTGAGGCTACCCTGTTATTATATAGGCTTACGCCACATCCACCGACCCCCCTTGAGTGTAGATTGTTTCCGATGGTTTGTGGGGGCGTCCAGTGTGATGGTGGTGTGGATGAAAGCGAGATGGGGGGTTCAGGGGTGTCTTGGGGGCATCTGGGTCCGCTGAGGCCGTGTTGGGCGATTCGGGGCCTTCTTGGATTGTCTTGGGGTTCTCATGGGCTTGAGGCTCCATGGGGGCGTCTTGGGAGGTTTTTTGGGCGACCTGGGGGCATGTTGGGGCCGAGAGCTTCAAACCTTGCCGTCGAGGCTCCCTCTTGGAACCGTCTGAGAATTCTCTTGGACTGTCTTCGTAGCTTGTTGGGCCGTCTTTGTGCCTTCTTGGGCGCCTCTGGTGGTGTGGGTTTCACGGAAAGTTTGGTGGGGTCCTTCGTGGGGTATCCCGTGGAGTGTTTCGTGGGTGTTTCGTGGAGGGTTTTGTGGTGTGTTTCATTGGGTCTCCCGTGCAGTGTTTCGTGGGTGTTTCGTGGGATGTTTCGTGTGGCGTTGACCTTTGGTGCTTGGAATGCGGGCTGGAAGGTACACGCCTCCAGTGGTACAACTTGAGGCAGGCACATCAGGCGAAACGGGGAAGGGGAGAAAGAGTCGGAGGATGAGAAGGAGGGGAGAACGGGTAGGAGGAGGAGGAGGAGGAGGAGGAGGAGGAGGAGGAGGAGGAGGAGGAGGAGGAGGACGATGAGTAGGATATGGCGGTGAAGAATGCGACGACGGTGACGACGACGACGACGACGACGACGACGACGACGACGACGACGACGACGACGACGACGACGACGTTGAGAAGTCATGAATGTTGGTCGGGATCTCGTGGTTGGCCGCTCGAGAGCCTCCTGGAGGCAGATCCAAGGCCTTTGGGGAGCCGTTTTGGGGCCTCTGGGGACGCCTGGATTGCGGGTGAGAAGTTATACGCCTCAACTGGTACCACTTGAGGCACATCGGCGAACACGGGGAGGGGGAGGAAAAGTCAGAAGATGAGAAGGAGGATGAGGATGGGGAGGAGGAGGAGGAGGACGATAATGAGGATATGGGAGTAAAAAGCAACGACGGCGACGACGACAACGACGACGATAGAAGGCTCATGGGTGTTGGTCGTGATCTCGTGGTTGGGCGCTCGGGGGCGTCCTGGAGGCAAGTTCGAGGCCTCCTGACGGCGGTTTGTTGGTGCCTCTTGGGGCCTCTTTTGGGCTTTTGGGGGGCCTGGGGCCTCTTGGGGGGCCTCATGGGGGCCCCTTGGGGCCTCTTCGGAGCCTCTTGGGGATTCCTGGCGGCCTCTTGGGGCGGGACGCTCGAGGTTTCGGTTCGCGGCCCCCCTTTAGGCCCTCTCTTGGGCCCGTCTTGAGACTCTCTTGGGCCGTCTTGGACACCTCTTGGGCCGTCTTAGAGCCCTGTTGGGCCGTTTGAGGGCCCTCTTGGAAGCCTCTTGGGACGGTCTCGGGGGCCTCGTGGGCCGTCTTGGAGCGTCGGAAAGCCAAACAGGCGAGTTTCTTCAAAATGTACGTTGCGTCATTGTTGCGTCTGGGGGCCATTGTTGCGTCTGGGGGCCTTCCTGGGGCGCGTCATCGGGCTGGGTGTCTGGACTTCGGAGGCCGTCTGGAGGCCATCTTCGGCGTGAAGGGGCGGTATTTTGGCCCTGTTGGACCGTCATGGGGGGAGGGTCATGGTGCCATGTTGGCCCGTTTAGGGCCCCTTTCCCCCCCCCCCGGCGTGCATTGTCACGGACTGGGCCAGGCCTGGGGGGGGGGTCGAATTCGCGGTTTGGGGTCCCCAGGGGGGGGATTATTGGGGGGGAAGAGTCTCACACGCCTGAGGACCCACAAGTGGTGTGCGGACTTGCTCTTCGCGTCGCTGGCCGCGCGGAACCTGTGCGCGTCGCAGAGGCGATCGCCAGAGCTTCCTGGGGCGCGGGCTACGGTCTTGAAACCTATTTCGCCTACCGTTAAGTCGGGCGGGGACGATTATTGCATTATTCGGGGACGATTATGCATTATTCAAAAATAGTAAAAAACATGATCCGGGGACGATTATTGCATTATTCTTTGATCATTTTCGAAAATTGTTTTACGATTCTCAGTTTTTCGCCCAAAATCCCCCTGTAGGGGGACAGACCCGACCTAATACTTCGCCTACCGCCCATAATCCTGCTCGAGACTTCTCCTGGCGCTGCCTGGGCCCATCCTGGATTTCTCTGCTAGGCAGTCACTGTGACCTCGCAGCGCGAGACGCCACTTGGGAGCTTCCTGGGGGCTTCTTGGAGGCATTTGAGGTTCTCTTGGGGGTCCCTCAGGGCCTCTCGGGTTGTTCTCGGGGCAGGCTGGGGGCGTCTTCGGGCCGAAGGCTCAGGTGCCCTGTGGGCTTCGTCTTGGAGCCGTCTGGGGGCCCTCTTCGGTTGTCTTGGGGGCTACGGGGGCTGTTGTTGGACCCTCTTCGACCTTTCTTGGTGGCCCCTTCACCGTCTGGGGGCGATATTGAAGGTTTCTCTGCCCGTCTGGGACGTTGTGAAAACCGAATAGGCGAGCATGCGAAAAATGTGTGCTTCTCTCAGGGAATGGGGCCATTTTCTGTTTCCTGGGACTCTCCTGGGGCGCATCTTGGAGCCTTTGGGGGCGTCTTGGCAGCTTTGGAGGCTGCCTGGAGGCCATCGTGGGCGTCCAGGGCGATATTTCGGCGAATCGTGGCCCCCTGGGACCATCAGGGGAGCGTTTTGGTGCCTTCTTGGCCAGTTTTGGAGATCTCCGCTCCCCCGTGACGCGTTCGGTCCGGGTTGGGCTGGGCGAGGACGGGAGCGTCCAATTGCCGGTTTGGGGTCCCTGGGGGGGATTATGGGGGGGATAATCTCACACGCCTAGAGACCCACAAGGGGTCGGCGGATTATGATGATGATGATGATGATGATGATGATGATGATGATGATGATGATGATGATGATGATGATGATGATGATGTTGCTGATGATGATGATGATATGTAATGGTGATGGCGATGCTGATATTGCTGTTGCGGAGTACGATGATGGTCATGCTGATGATAATGTTGCTGATGATGCTCA